CACACACTGACTCTCACTGGGGTACAGTCGCACACACACACTGACTCTCACTGGGGTACAGTCGCACACACACACTGACTCTCACTGGGGTACAGTCGCACGCACACACTGACTCTCACTGGGGTACAGTCGCACACACACACTGACTCTCACTGGGGTACAGTCGCACACACACACTGACTCTCACTGGGGTACAGTCGCACACACACACTGACTCTCACTGGGGTACAGTCGCACAGACATTGTGCTGCTGTTGATGAAGTTGAACTCTCTCACGGAGATGTCTTTTATCGGCCGAGATTCCGTTGCTGATGCTACTTGTCTTCGGCAGTTCCTTGGAAGCTCTCTCTGCAGATGAAGGTTTTACTGCTAGGGTTGTGCCAATCGGCAGAACTCTGGACTTTCGAGCTCTTGGCCAGTGGCCACGGCTTCGTCCTTGTCTCATCCAGTGAGCATGCATTGATAGGCGGGCAGACACTGTGTCGCATGGGCATTGAACAGGGACACACCACCCTGTAGTAGCTCCCTGTGGGGGGTAGGGGGACAGTCCTTCTCATTTCTATCTGACACATCGGGAGGAACATCAACATCTCCTGATTTGCGTTCCGTTCCTCGAGCATCGATTGTGGATCTCCCTTGGACTGGTTCGACTGGTCTTCGTCGCATTAAAGTCCCCCGGTCTCAGACTTTCCCGTTTGTTGTGTAATTTTTATTTCGGCTGCTCGTTCAAAAGCAGGATTGGTTAGGAGGCATTGGGTGGCTGGTGGGGAATTGGGATCAAAGGGTGAGGATGAAAAGACGGAAGAACAGCACCCGCTTGCTGTTTCTCTCCCCAGAGCTTGCAGGAGGATCTGTGCCACCCCCCCCGTTGTCAAATAGCCTGCGCATGTTCACCTTGGAGGGCATGGGGACACGTAACCATGGGCCTGGCTTGGGGTCACGACCTGCTGTTTTCCCCTTTTCCGTTTTGCGCTTTCACTCCCAAAAGAGGTCTTAGAGTTCAGGTTCACAGTTCCTTGAAAGCGGAGTCACAGGTATACAGGATAGTGAAGAAGGCGTTTGGTACGCCTGCCTTTATTGGTCAGTGCTGAAGTGAAGTTGGGTAGAGTACCTGTGGATTGGGAGGCAGGAAGTTAGAATTTGGTGCTTGTAAAATGTTAAGGGGGGGAAAGTAGTGCGTGGTCCCTTTAAATGATGATGTGCTTTTCCTACGATTAGAGATTTAAAAGGGATGTCTGTGAGCAGCTTGAAGGTTTGCAAGTACACAGAGAGCACCTGAAGACTACAAGTTTTGAATTTAGCCAATCAATTCAAACCAGGCACTTAGATACTAAAAGCCAATTAAATTTAAATCTGATGGTTTTGACAACAGAGGACCAATCCTAATGTAAGAAATTGATATGTCATGAAGGATTTAAAAGGAGAGGGGCAGTTGGACAAAGAGGGGAGAGTTAACTGCCATCTGCCAGAGTTAACAGCCCTCAAGAGAGAATCGCTGGCTCTCCCAGTCTTCTCTAAGTCTTAGAGAAAGCACCATCTAAATATCAAAGGTACCAATGGCATAACTAGTTAATATTCCTTAACAGTACATTGAGTATAGGAGTTGGGAGGGTCATGTCGCATCTGTACAGGACATTGGTTAGGCCACTTTTGGAATACTGCGTGCAATTGCTGTCTCCCTGCTACAGGAAAGATGTTGTGAAACTTTGAAAGGGTTCAGAAAAGATTTACAAGGATGTTGCCAGGTTTGGAGGGTTTGAGCTACAGGGAGAGGCTGAATAGGCTGGGGCTATTTTCCCTGGAGCATTGGAGGTTGAGAGGTAACCTTATAGAGGTTTATTAAAGCATGAGGGGCATGGATAGGGTGAATAGCCAAGGTCTCTTCCCCAGGGTAGGGCAATCCAAAACTAGAGGGGCATAGGTTTAAGGTGTGAGGGGCAAGATTTGAAAGAGATGTGGGGGGCAACTTTTTCATACAGAGGGTGGTGTGTGTATCGAAGAAGTGATGGAGACTGGTACAATTACAACATTTAAAAGGCATCTGGATGGGTATGTGAATAGGAAGGGTTTAAATGGATATGGGCCAAATGCTGGCAAATGGGACTCGATTAATTTTGGATTTCTAGTTGGCGTGGATGAGTTGGACGGAAGGGTTTGTTCTGTGCTCTACATCTTTATGAGTCTATGACTCTCACTGCAGCTCTCCCCCTGCCCCATGCTGGAGGGAACGCTCCTGCCCATGTGCGTTGTAAGTTAATATTGTTAAAGTATTAATGATCAGTTTTATTTTAATACAAACTGAAAGAACTGTGGATGGTGTAGTTCAGAACAAAAATAGATTGCTGGAAAAGCTCAGCAGATCTGGCAGCATCAGTGAAGAGAAATCAGAGTTAACATTTCAGGTCTGGTGGGAGGTCGCTGAGTGATGAACACTTATACTAATGCGCGTGATCCCAGGCAGGGATGTGTTAATGTTAATTTCAAAGATCAGACATTCACTGGCTATTTAATATAGAATCCCGACAGTGTGGAAGCAGGCCATTCAGCCCATTGAGTCTACACTGACCCACCATACAGCATCCAACCCAGACTGACCACCCCCCTCTATTGCCATCCCTGTAACCCTGCATTTCCCATGGCTAACCCACCCAGTCTGCACATCCCTGGACACTATGGGCAATTTCCCATGGCCAATCTACCCTGATGTGCACGTTCTTGGACCGTGGGAGGAAACCGGAGCACGCGGAGGAAACCCACGGAGAGACGGGGAGGATGTGCAAACTCCACACAGACAGTCGCCCAAGAGTGGGACTGAACCGGGGTCCCTGGCGCCGTGAGGCAGCGGCGCTAAGCACTGAATATCGCACTGTATCGGGTTCTGAATTGTGCATAGATTGATTCCAGCCACAAACTATTACAGCTGTATTGTGAGGCCGGGGTAAAATTGCTCTAGCCCACGCAATCACAGGGCTGCTCTCTCATGAAAGAGAGAGCTGAGGTTCACCCTGCTTCAGGCGAGGGGCAAGTTCAAGAAGGTGGGTGTTTCCTGGAAATGTCAAGGGCCAAGTCTTCACTTGGCTGCTGGTGAGAAGGGCACTGTCCTTCAGATCCTTTATGCATAGCTTCGACTGCACCTGGAGGACCATCAACTCTTTGGTTAGCCCAAAACTTCTTGTTCTTCCAGTGCAAAGAGTTTACCAGAACCGAGTGTTGCAGACTGGCACATTCCTAAGTCCAGGACTATGTGCTGAGGGATGCCTTTAAAGCTAGGGGCAGCTGCTGCCAAGGCGTAATGGAGAAAAACCACAGGCGTTAGATTAAGGGATGGTCATTGCCTCGCATTTGTGTGGCACAAATGTTACTTGCCATGTGCCAGCTCAAGCCTGCATATTGTCCAGATCTTGTTGCATTTGGTCACGGACTGCTTCAGTAACTGAGGAGTCGCAAACAACGCTGAACATAATGCAGCCATCCGTAAACAGCCCCACTTCTGACCTTATGATGGAGGGAAGGTCATTGATGAAGCAGCTGAAGATGGTTGGGACAACAAGGTGCAGGGCTGGATGAACACAGCAGGCCAAGCAGCATCATAGGAGCAGAGAGGCTGACGTTTCGGGCCTAGACCCTTCATCAGAAAAGGGGGAGGGGAAGGGGGTTGGGCCCTGGACACGACCCTGAGGAACTCCTTCAGAGATGGCCTGGAGCTGAGATGACTGATCTCCAACAACCACGACCATCTTCCTAGTGTCAGGTATGACTCCAACCACTGGCGAGTTTGCCCCCGATACCCATTGATTCCAGTTTTGCTGGGGCTCGTTGATGCCACACTCGGTCGAATGCAACCTTGATGTCAAGGGCTGTCACTCTCACCTCACCTCTGGAATTCAGCTCTTTTTGTCCATGTTTGAACCAAGGCGGTAATGAGGTCAGGAGCTGGGTGGCCCTGGCGGAACCCAAACTGGGCGTCACTGAGCAGGTTGGAGGGAGTGGGGTGAAGAGAGGTGGGAGAATGAAGGGGTGGGGC